CGCGGGATCAGATCGAACCCCGGGCAAGATTTCGTGCGGGCTCGCCGGAGCGGCGCGCACCTGACCCGATGGATGTTACCGATTGATCGGCGGCCAACGACGGTGGGGAAAAATTTTGGCGCTGAATAGCAGATTGTCACGCCCCAATCCAGAGGATTTGGGGAGAGAGGAGAAGGGGGATCGGGGTGAGGAAGAACAGAGTAGGTGAGAGCGAGAGAGATGAGACAGGGGGGGGGGGTGATTCATTCACTGTTTCGATGCCTTCTCCAACCAGTCGTTCGGTTACAAGTAAGCCACCGCTGGCTTCACACGCACGCCAACACTTGGCTTAACACACACGCATACATTTGGCCGCCGGGCCCCACGGTGACCTGGTCGTTGCAAGTGGCTAGCTGCAATTGCACTGGTTAGTCCGCTGCAGGTTGATCTGCAGGCGTGACATTATCAAAGAAAAGTGTGTGATAGGAGAAACTAACCACAAAAACGACCGTTTATTTTCTAAAACTCCAGTAAGAGAAGGCACAGATCAGTTCAGTCTATGCACAACTGGTCTAATTCAACCCACTACAGTTCTTTCACAAACTATAGACAAGGGTTTTTTAAGCGCTAGGCACTAAGCGAGCATTGTGCTTCCGCTTAGTGCAACGACAGCTTAAACCGCGTCTAGGCGCGCTTAAGCGTTCTGCATGGACGTCGTACGGGCAGGAACAGGGGCACCCAAAAAACAATTTTCAGAGCATGTAAAGCATGTATTAAGCCTAAAATCGCAAACATGTTGGGAAGGAGAGACGGGGAGGAGCTAGAGGTCAGGGAAGGGGAAGAAAGCTGACAGTTGCAAGGTCGGGGAAGAGAAGCCACCAGACTCCAGCCTAGAAGAGGAGCCCGATATCGGGGAAGAGGGGGAAGGACTGGCGGCGAGGCAGGGAAGGGGAGCTTGAGATCCAGCGGCGCTAGGTCAGGGAAGAAGATGGGTGATGAAGTCAGGGAAGAAAGCGCCACATCTGGCAGTGCAAGTTCGCCTTGCTCTCCTCTGTTTCTCTCACCTTGCTCTCCTGTGTCTAACCCTAGGCGCCTGAGCGCTTTTTTCAACGCTTACCCCAAAAGCGAAGCGGTAGGCCTCCGCTCAGTGTAGGCGTACGCTCAATTTTGGATGGGATAAGGAGCCCGATATCTATAGCATAGTTTCTAAATTAGCAACAGGACAGGAGCAAAGCTGGGCAACATAATATTGGATGGGACAAGGAGTAGAGTTAATAAATGGCTGTCAGAGTCAGTGTTATGTAAAGCAGGTTAGTAGGTTCACGTATTGCTTTTTTAGTTACCTGTTAATAGCAAGAGAAAGGAATAAATCTGGCCCTTAATTTTCATAAGTCACTCAGGAAAGATTAGCTAGGCCAACTGCAAACTGTAGGCAGTAATGTGGCTAGAGTACATGAAATAGCATATATGCATGACTTTGTATATCTGGAAACCCTAGACAAACTGAGACAGCATGAAACATATAGCTCTAGATGCTGTGGGAGACAAACCTTGTCAGTATTCAACCAGGCAACATATTCAACCAGGCCACCAGCATAACAGTATTCATTGTGTTGAACCTGTGCATCCTGTTCTTCCTTTGTCAGTGTTATTGTCAGCTGGCATTGAGAGAAGTACAGAACATGAGAAATCAACCAAAGGTCTACCTTTAAGCATAACAAATATCACATGGAAATTGTGCATGCAAAGCAAATAAAAAATAAATAAAAAAACTAATAATAACGGGCATAAATAATGACATACGAAACCAAGCTACCCAATTGCAATTTGAAAAGGACACATAAGGATCTAGCTAAAATCAACCAATGATACAAGTAAAACGAACAAAAATATGAATGCACTTTAATGCATGAAAGATATGTAGAGAGAATTGTAAACATAATATGCACCGAGGTGTGCAAAAAGCATTTGGTTTGAGCAGTTGGTCAAAATTTAACTCAAAATTCCCATTGGAACAAATCTTTCATTTTTTCTCTCTGTTGCTTGGGGTATCACCAGCAGTAGTGGAACAGCACCATTGATATCCACAATTAGCTGATGCTGTCTTCACAAAGTATATCCTCATGTCTCCAACAAATGATTTTATGAGGCAGAATGCTTCCTTAGCACAGAAGGCCCATACTCCCTCCGTCCCAAAATGTATCATACTGTCAAAAATGATCTTACATTTTGGGACGAAGGAAGTAATATATAGTATGAGTGTCTTGACTGAATAAAAATCGGAAGCGAATCATATCCTTATTAATGAATAAAATATCAATAGAAGCTTCTTTCTATTCTTGCTGACACACTAACTTCAATAATCTGATAACAAAGGTATGTTAGCCTGACAGAGCAATCAGTATTCATTAATCAGTCAGGTAATAAACAAGCGAAGGAAATAATCATAATCATGTGCAATCTCTGGAACTAACAACCAACTACAGAACAGATCAATGTTTCTAGTTGAAGGACTATCATACCTTAGGATTTAAAAATGCAAGTTCCCGGATGCAACTAGAGATCGTGCTGAAGTCAAACTCAATTGCAGTTGTAAATACTACATCAAAGAAAAAAAACTGAGCATTCCGGCAACACAACATAACATAACTAGTAATGTTTAGATCAGAAAACTTTTCCGGAAAAATAGATGCATACTTTCTTTGTCAGGCCAAAATCTGATACATGAACCTTGACGACTTGATTCATCAGGCAGTGTGGTACTACTTAGCGTTGTAAGTGGTTTTCCACGAGAATAGCGTTGTCGATATTCCTTCCCATCACGGCAAACTGTAACTTCTAGTGCCTGACATAGTAATATCGCGAAAATGACAATTAATTGCACATCAATTGCAGAAATATGTACAAGTAGTATATCCAAAACACGTTATCACTGTGATAGAGATTTCTATGGTCATGGTTCAGGCTCTCATCCTATTCTTAAACTGAAATATAGGTAGTTCATACTACTACTATAATTTTAGTTCATGGTAATCAAGTAACTATGTTACTATGTATGTACACCGCTCCTTTTCACAAACAAGCTAATTAATGAGCAACAACAACAACAACAAAGCCTTTCAGTCCCAAACAAGTTGGGGTAGGCTAGAGTTGAAACCCATAAGATATCGAAACCAAGTCAGTTCAGGCACGTGGACAGCTAACTTCCATGCACCCCTGTCCATGGTCAAATCTTTAGTGATATTCCAGTACTTCAGATATCTCTTTACGGACTCCTCCCATGTCAAGTTTGGTCTACCCCGACCTCCTTGACATTATCAGCATGCCTTAACCGTCCGCTGTGCACTTGCGTTTCTAGAGAAAGAGTAATTGTCCGGTCACAGCAGGTCAACATCCAGATACATTGACGCAAATCTCGAAAGATGTGGTCGGTCTAATTCGATGAAGAAGGGTTTGAAGGGGAGAGTTGACACTGCAAGGGCAGGGTGGTGGAGCTTAAACGGCGACAAGGTGAAAGCTTCACCGCCCAGTTGCTGCCGCCACAAGCACAATTGTCTTGGTGCAGCGCACATCAACCCCTTGTCTTCTATGTGTGTCGTCGCCGTACGTCAAATGGTTGCTGACCCCTCCCTAGAGCAACAAGTTCGCCATGTTGGTGATGTTTTTCGACTAGAACCATACATGGTATGGCATGGTGGCTGTGCTTTTATTCGACCCTCTGACTGCATTTTGGATCAAACTGTCACTTCTCTCCTATTCCAACATGCATCATCATTACGAATGGAGCTTGCTCGTCCTGGACAGATTTATTGGCATATATACTAATGTACCAAGCAAATACAGGCATCATTGCCCTCAAAGAGTTCATTTTGCATGGTGATCCCATGTGCTCACAAAAAATCTCATTAAGGTTTATTTTCCTGGGAGTGATTTCAACCTACCCAGACAAGCCCTAAAGGAGATCTCTAAAGGGCATGTCTGAAATTTACTGATTGTGTATTGTCTGGACTCTGGGGGTAGAATCATTATTAGACTTGGTCCACGGAATAACAGTATTCATAGGAAAAATAACACTCCTTTATGTAAGGTGTATTATTTGCGGCACGGTAACCAAGGCACAAATTTATAGACAACTGAGGACAAAATTACCCTTGGCAAATCGTTGGTTAGTGGTAAGTAAATCAATTAGTCCAGGAAATAAAGAGATAGACGCAATCGAGAGAGCAATACTTTCCTTTTTTGCCACAAGGAGAGATGCATGCAATAAGCAAAGATATAATTTCCTTTTTTTCTACAGGGCTAAGAAAGGAATTAGGAGGAATTAGAACAAATGCACCTTACATTGTGGAATTTTATCGAAAAACAAATACACCTTATATAAAGGAACGGAGGGAGTATATGAAAAAGCATAACTACCACATTTATTATTATAACCCATGGAAGGCTTGAGAGGATTAGTTTGACGTAGATAGAATTTAACTTCCACCCAATGGATCGTGATTTTGTGTAGAGAAAATTGCAATTTTCGCGTAAGATCTACGATCGATACTCTTTCTTTAAAGCATCTATGGTTCATATTCAATAAAGGTGAAAGCAAGAACCTCTGACAACGCATTAACAACTGATAGGCCAACACCATGCAGCCCTCCAGCAACGCTGTAGCTACTCGTTGAGCCTCCAAATTTGCCACCAGCATGCATTAGCTGCATAATCAAAAGAAAATCTTTACAAGACAGAAGATGGAAGCTGTTGAACATTTAGGCATGTCGTTGACCACCCAAAAGAAAACTTTAGTGTTGCCTTATGGACAAGCATATGATGCAAATGATAATATAAGTGTATTGTAGCATCTCTATAAATACAGGCATGCAAGTATAGTAACAGCACACAAGCCTCCCGGTATGGTAGTCCTAAAAACTAAATGACCGTAGAGGTACCCATAAGTCATCTTCATTCCCAGAATATAATATTAATAAATAAGTAAAATTTACTGGGATTTGGGTCAGGATGGTTGACATTGCAATATACAGCCCTGTCAAACAAATAAAGCTTTAACCATACCGTTAAGACAGTCTCCACGCATGATTTCTTCGTCTGCGGGTGTATATCTGTAGGGATCTGCAGTATATCCAGGATTTAGCAGTAATTTTATCTAAGAAAGGAGAAGATAATTCATAAAGTAATCGGAACAGAAGGTTGCATGTAGGTTACTCAAAAACTGGTGCTATGTAAATCTCAACTTTCAAGAAAGAAACACAAAGTTTTAAGAAGCAAAATGGTAACAGAGATGTTCAATTAGCAGAACTACATCAAATTGGGCATAGACTGCATAACTGTAACTCTGTAAGATAACCCCTTTTTCTAGACTATGAATGTTGAACCGACTCTGTTTAAAGACGAGGGTTATACAGAACATTCAGTCTAGTCCTGTGATCTTGTGTATTACTATTACTTGTGGACATTCTAACAGGCAGAGCTTTTCATAACAATACAAAGACACACACACAGTGCTACCAAAAAATCAGTGCACTCAACTAGGCAATAAAAGCAGGTGTGCAAGTGAAGTATCCCAGTAGGATGTGACCACCTACGGGTCATAGCTACTATAAGCAAACAACTGCTAGGACCTTCTCCATGTGTTAACTAACATCTGTCAGCCATGTAGCAGCAGTGATGGAACGAACTGCTATTGAAGAGAAACAGGCCAATCAGACCCTTCCCACCGTCCTACTTGACTGGTTGATTGTGTTAGATCTATGAATGGTTGTATGTGTTATGACCTCCATGGACCACAGCTAAAGCACTATTTTTCACATACAGAATAGTGCGTCACATATGCAACATGCATGTGGAAGTTCATCCGAGAGTGCCCAGGAAAAGATATCGTCAAAGGATAGCACTGGCATGAAATAGTCCAAGAAATGGCAGGAGAATATAGTCCATGCAATTCGAGGGGAAATCAGACAAGGAACTCATAAGCCACAAACATATTCGCACAGGAAAAGCTAGCCGGTGCAGCAGAATCCAGCAGTAGGAGTAAGATTAAGAGTTGGTAGTCAAGAGGAGTCCTGTTGGGCCGAGAAGTCAGTTAGTTGCACTGTTACGGATCCAGGTTAATTAGAGTTTGAATACATTATAAAGAGAACAGTGTGAAAGTGTGATTACACAGATGACTTGGCATGCAGCCATTCTTTTGTTTATTTCATTGATGACTTTGCTTGGTGTGTCAAATATGTACTAACAGCAAAACAAAACTCACGAGTGAATATGATATAAAGGCTTCATTAACATTTGCTAAACTTCTGTTTGATTTACCAACAAGTAGGACTACTAAATTAATAACAGTAACTAGTATAGCAGCATGAAACTAAATTCATAACAGGCACATTATTCACAATATTTGTAAAAGCATTGAGCATTCAGTATGTCTTCCTTGGTTTAGGAAAACTGCATACCCCACGGCCATTGTCAGTTACACTAACTGAATTGTCATCATGAAGGACTACATTAATCTCAGTAGCATAGCCTGCTTGAGCTTCATCCACAGCATTATCCAATATTTCAACAACCTAGAATACACCAAACAAAATGATGATCAGGCAAGAAACGAAGTAGAACACCTAATAACATGGTAAAAAGGAAAGCTTAATCAGTTGAGATTACCAGATGATGCAACCCACGTGGTCCTGTGCTGCCAATGTACATACCAGGCCTTTTGCGAACTCCGTCCAATGCCTCTAAGACCTGCAAGTTAGAAATTTGGTATAAATAAATATCAAGCCAACAAAAACAATTCATTCAGGCTTCACAAATAATAGCTAACAGTGGCACACTGCAGAAACACATAACGAATCTGTGCGTGAATGTATATTGTTATCTTTCTCTTTCTTTCCAACAAAAACATCAGCAAGCTTTACATCTTATATTTTTCATTAACTAAAAGTTAACCAGATTGATGAACTAACCACGTGTCTTGACAGTTCATATACAGTACATAATAAATGTTTATCTATTCTACAGTGGCTTAGGAAAATTAAATGCCTTGATAATGGCATTTGCTAAATTGTCAGGGGAAGATTAGGAAGACAGAGCCTACTTGTAGTAATTAAGACAGGGATATTCTTAACCTTCCCAGCTCAGGTTCATAAATCACGATGTAAGTATGAAATCCACAATTATGCACCAAAACAAGAAAGAGTATAAACCATTGTACATGATGTAAAATTAAATATGCAATTCTTATGTTATTCAAGGTAAACACCGTTACGTCAAAACAATACTTGATGCCTTAAGTGGGTTATCAACCCTGAAAAAGACCCCCAAAAATGCTCCACGGCATCACTGTCTCAACTGAATGGGTGCAGTGTCACCGCTACCTAACAAATTAGCTGCAATGTAACATTTGTGTGCAAACCCATGCAATCTGGTGGGAAAAAACATGATGAAAACGTATGTATAGGATTGCAAAGCTGCTTGGAGCTGATTAACTCTGTTCCTGCCGTTATGTGCTCCATGAAACTCCCGAATAATCCGCACATCGTATAAAATTTGAGATATTCCAAACACTTGCACCCGAAGTCCAACTTAACCCTTAGCCACAGAAGTCGTGCAAGAGAATCACCTGGACGTTTGCTGCGGTGTACTCGCCGGCCACCCGCTTCTCCTGCATCGCATCGGATGCCACCGTGGAGGCCATGAAAGCCCTCACCGCGACCCCATTCCGCCCTGGGACCACCGCCGCCACAACCCTAGAAGGGAAAAACACGCGCCAAAAAAATACCAGCAAATCAGCATCCAGGCCGCTCCAGCGAGAGAAATCTGCCTTGCCAAGAGGCGTAGAAGGAAGCATGAAGCGGACATGGAGGCACCTGGGTCTGAAGAGGTGTCGAGCGGAGGGGGAGGGGACCGGGAGCAGACGGGAGGGGGTAGGGGCGCTGGAGAGGAGGCGGCGGAGAAGAAGGCGGAGATGGGGTGGGGGAGGCGACGGCCGGAGGAGGAGCGCCATTGGCGGCGGCGGCGAGCTCGCGTCGCGTCCGCCTAGCTTCTGCTTTGGCTTGGCCTGGGTTGCTGCTTGTGGTGGGGGAAATGGCAGGAGGGGTTGGGGTTTAGACGGCAGTGGATGAGGCGTCGCGGAGCCCGAGGAGGGTTTTAGCAAGGGAACCGGGTGGTTTCAGGCTAGAGAGAAAGGCTTTTCGAAAAGGAAAGGGCAGGGAATGCGATGTTCTTCTATTGGGCTGTCGGTCGGGCCTGGTGGACTTCTAGGGTTCCTGAAACTTTGCTCCGCTCCATCAAATTTACTTTGCTCCCCTCAAAAAAAAATCAAATTTACTTTGCGAAATCATCATTACTTAAAGGAAATCCCATGTAAAAAATGTAAGTGTCACTCCTCCGTTCTTTTTAATCAAAGGATGGATATATCGTCTACCAGCAGACTCACAATGAAATTAGGCAGGGCATCAATCCAACGAGATGGATTATTAGCACGTCCTCATCTAGCCAGCTCATGAGCTACATAAGTTGACTCTCTAATACAATGCTCAATAATAAACCTTCCAAAATCTACTAGATAAGTACGACATTCATCAAGAACCAGCGCTGCCATCATAGAATAACCTTCATTGAATCTAAGTGCATCCACCACCGTGATATTATCCGATCGCACCACCAAGTTATTGCATCCCGTATCTCTTGCTAGCTTCAGTCCTTCAAGCAGAGCTGCCGCTTCTGCCGTGAACACATCAACTACATGTTCTAATCTCGCCGTGGACGCCGACATGAAAGATCCTCGGTAATCACGGATGATGGCACCACAAGACCCTGCATAATTGCCTTCTGTGAATGAAGCATCAACATTAAGGACAAGTTGTCCTGCTAGGTACGTCGGCCGCCTGTTGATCTTGGGTGTAGATTTAGCTTGTGCTCCGGGCACATAATTAATCGCTAGGGCAACCACCGCCGGCGTTGTTCGTTCTCGAGTCAATATTTCTTCCCCTCGCACGAACTGTTTTCTTTGCCACCATAAGAACCAACAGACTGTTGATATGAGCTCTGGTAGCTCGACCAATCCAGAATATTGTCGCCGATAATAATCATCACATAAAATGAACTTCAAGACTGTTGAACCTGCTCGATCAGTCAATGAAGCAAAGTTAATATCTGTTGCGATTCCCAAAGCTTTCCAAACTGCTTGCGCCCTTGCACACTTATACAGCATATGTGCTAAGTCCTCCGCACCATCTGTACAGTATGAGCATTGGGACAAGTTTCCAACATGGCGGTTCATAAGAGTACTCTGGCATTGGATGGCATTGTGCAAGCATCTCCAGATATAAATTTTAACTTTCGCTGGTACTCTCAAACTCCACAACTTCTTCCAAACTGGATGGGGCGCCATGGAGAAGCGGGCCAGACCGCTGTCATCTGTATCATAATTCACTTCTCATTGCTTATAATAGGCAGAACATACTGAGAAAACGCCGCTCCTCGTGAGATGTCATGCAACATAGTCCTCTGTCTCCACATGGAATAATGGGATTTGTAGTACGCGTTAAGCATCAATGTGCCAGAAATTCTCGCGGATTAACATCTCATCCCATTCTCCCGTGATTGGGTCAATTAACTCATTCACTTTAGTAAGTGCTGGTTCTCCCTTACTGTTAAAACTTTTTTGGAGGCAATGTTCGGGATCCAACAGTCATCCCATATATTAATCTTTTCTTCATTGCCTACTCTCCAAATGTAACCCTTCTTGATCGTTTGAATTCCAGACCAAATGCTTTGCCACACATAGGACGACCCCTTCTTTAGTTGACAATTCAGAATATCTCTTGTAGGGTAGTACCTGGCTCTCAGAACTCGTGCACATAGTGAACCAAAGTTCTCAATTAGTCTCCAACACTGCTTTGCCAACATTGCCAAGTTAAATCTATGAATATCCCGTAATCCCATACCTCCTCTCTCCTTCGAAATACATATTTTTCCATCATGCAAACCAATGCATTCTTTGTTGGTCCTCCTCATCACCCCACCAATATTGCGACATTGCATCGGTGATTCCCTTGCAAAATTTCTTCGGGAATTTAAATACGCCCATCGCATGAGTTGGGATGGCTTGGGCCACCGCTTTCAGCAAAGCCTCTTTGCCTCCGAATGAGAGAGTTCTCTCTTTCCATCCATTCACCATTGCTTGAATTATTTTATTATGTGTTTAAAGCAGTCAACACGGTCCACCACTATCATGGATGGTAGACCCAAGTATTTGTCTGAAATAGACTCTGTCATAATATTTAGAATTTGACATACTTTTGCCTTCACCTCCACATTTGTGTTAGGACTGAAAAATATAGAGCATTTTGATTCACTCGCCAATCGACCTGAGGCTGCACAGTACTCATCTAAAATCCCATGCAGGGTGTTTGCATTGTGGGCATCTCCTCTCATGAGAATAAAAGAATCGTCAGCAAAAAGTAAATGAGAAATCATTGGCGAATCTCTGCACACATGCACACCATTCAAGTTACCAACCTCCTCCTCATGAGAAATAAGGGTCGACAGTCCTTCAGCACATAAGAAAAACATATATGGGGAGAGGGAGAGGGGATCCCCCAGTCTCAAACCTCTCGTGGGTGAAAAAGGCAACGTTTCATTTGAGTTGAACCGAACCTTATACTCAACCGACCTTACGCAAGTCATCACCATTTGAATCCACTGAGCATGAAATCCCAATTTGGTGAGCATGGCCTCCAAGAATACCCACTCAACTCTGTCATATGCCTTGTGCATATCTAACTTGATTGCACATGTTCCAAACTTCCCCTTCTTTCTCTTCTTCATCGTATGTAAGCACTCATATGCCACTATGACGTTATCGGTTATGTTGCACCCTGGCATAAACGCACTTTGTGTCTCACTGATTATATCTGGAAGAAAAACCTTCAGGCGTGCTGCGAGCATTTTTGAGATCTCCTTATAAACCACATTACATAAACTAGTAGGCCTAAATTGGGTGATCTTCTCTGGGTTGTCCACTTTGGGAATCAACACGATAGTAGTAGAGTGAAGGAAATATGCCCTAGAGGCAATAATAAAGTTATTATTCATTTCCTTATATCATGATAAATGTTTATTATTCATGCTAGAATTGTATTAACCGGAGACATAATACATGTGTGAATACATAGACAAACATAGTGTCACTAGTATGCCTCTACTTGACTAGCTCGTTAATCAAAGATGGTTATGTTTCCTAACCATGAACAAAGTGTTGTTATTTGATTAACGAGGTCACATCATTAGTTGAATGATCTGGTTGGCATGACCCATTCCATTAGCTTAGCACCCGATCGTTTAGTATGTTGCTATTGCTTTCTTCATGACTTATACATGTTCCTATGACTATGAGATTATGCAACTCCCGTTTGCTGGAGGAACACTTTGTGTACTACCAAACGTCACAACGTAACTGGGTGATTATAAAGGAGCTCTACAGGTGTCTCCAATGGTAGATGTTGGGTTGGAGTATTTCGATAATAGGATTTGTCACTCCGATTGTCGGAGAGGTATCTCTAGGCCCTCTCATGTAATGCACATCACATAAGCCTTGCAAGCATTGCAACTAATGAGTTAGTTGCGGGATGATGTATTACGGAACGAGTAAAGAGACTTGCCGGTAACGAGATTGAACTAGGTATTGGCTACCGACGATC